ATATATATTTTATTGATGCAGGTTTTGATTAATTATGCATGTATGATAAAGCCAAACTCTGATATGTTAATGTTTATTATTTTCCCTTGATAAAAAGTAACGTAAAATGTACTAATATTTATTTCTTTGATTCTAATTTTTGCAGTCAATACTCCTATCACTTGGAGTTTTAATATGCGTGGTAGAACATTCTACAGGCATGCCGCCGTATTACTGGAATAATCCCTATATGCAAGGTGCTCTCGGTGCTCCCTATATGCAAGGTGCTCTCGGGGCTCCCTATATGCAAGGTGCTTATCCACCCATGTTTCAGCCTTACGCTCCTCTTGTGGCTATAACAGTAAAATGTGAAGAAGGAAATGAAGAAATTGAAAGTGAGTGGCCCAACATATTTTTGATCTACTAATAGCCGTGTTTTTTTGATTTTCTATTTGAGTTATAACAAACTAAAAATAAGCTGTCGCGATTTAGTTTTTTTTTGCCGTATTTTACTTAAAAATATCGCCATAGCCTAAAGTGATTAATTTTTAATTAGACTTTAAGATTTTTATTCGAATTATATATTCTTGACACATCTATAGTTTGATTTAAAAGTCCAATTTTTAACTTAAAACTATAATTTTTTGCAATTTTTTTTAAAATCTTTGCTTAAAAACATTTATTTAAAAAATTTTTTAGTTTTAAGGTAAGTTAAAATAGTAACCTCTAACATTTCGAAACCTTTAATACCTCAATAGTACGTAGTATTAATTTAAATTGCGAGTTTTGGGCAGTTTTTTTTAAAAAGAAATATTGAATATACTTATTTATTTTAATCATAAAAGTATTCAATAAGATATGAGGCATGTCAATTTAATGAAGGGACAGAAACTGAAAAATAATTACTCTAAAAATTGAGTATTTTTAAGCTGCCTTTTTCTGTTGCGTGCCCTTTCTTATCCATAACTATTCTTCATGAATTTTCTATTACAGAAAACTATGAGCTAAATTATCAAGTGATAATTTTTTTTCACGATTTTCACCCTTTAAATCTACCCGATGCATCAACAAATTTGAAACATGTTCACTCTAATCTTTTAATTCAGAATTGATTTTAGGTCAAGTAACGTTTGACGCGTTAACATTTGCGGGGTGTTATAGGAAATTGTCACAAATTGCAGGCAATGAGGGTATGGATATTTCTTTCATTTGCTAATTACTTAACGTTTAAAAAAGAGTTGTATCATAACTTAAGATACAAATATAAGTACTTATCTTAAAAATATGTCATTGAAGACATATTTATATTATTTCTGAAAAATAAGTTCGAATAATTAAACACTTGAACTATCACATTTTCTTTTCTGAAAAGATGAACCGTCTTTTTAAACAAACGTTAGACACAAATAGGTTGAAATCATCGGTGAAGGAAATGTCAGTACATTCGGCCGAGACAATTTAAGTAGGTGTAGAGTATAACAATCAATGGCCTTTTATCTAGAAAAATAAAAACATTAGCTAATAGAATAACGGGTAAGTGGAAGCCCAACAATGGTTCTTTTCCTTAGAAAATAAAATCAGTTAAAGGAATAGCGGGAAAGGGGCAGCCAGGTTATTAATCCGGTTGTTATTAATAATAACCACGTCACTAATAACCAGCATTCTATATTTTGATTTTTCCTTAATCTATCATCAGACAAAAAGACAACAATTGCAAATAAAACTTATCCCGACTAATAAATTTTTTTTTTTAATGTAAAGTATATTAGAAGTATTATTTATATTTTAAAACTAAACTATTTTGTATCATCAATTATGAAATCACCTTCTCAGGCGAGAATGCCTAGTGAGTCTTTTACCTTCCACCATTTGAGATGAAACAATTTTCGAAAACCGCTTTAAATGGTAACGCCTAATGTAGACATCAATTGATTTTTGTATTTAAAACGATGAGGAAAATTATCCTAAATAACTACAGAGGATATTCCAACAGGGTGACAACCAACTACGTCGAGCAGGAAACGATAGGACGTGACTATTGAAACTTTGCGTTGTGGTGCCAAATTGTCTTTCTAAAAGAATTGAAATTTCATTGAAATTTTATAAAATTTGTTTTTTAATTTTTCATTAAAGATTCAGTATTTACTATGTCGTGACTCATTACATAGTTAGTATATGTTCTTTAACTAGATATTCTAAGAAGAATTATTTCTTTAAAAATGGTTTTCTATTTTTTAACTTGTTTTAATAACACGTTAAAAAATTTTGTTATTTTCAGTTATAATGATAACTATAATTTTTCTTTCAATGAAAATAATTTTGGAGGAAATTTTAAAGAGCTAGCTATTTCTGCTTCATGAAAGCTCTATAAAAAATTGGTGATAATGGTGATAGTAAGTGATAATGAGGAAACTGATAGACAAAATTATAATAAGTAAATGACACCCTCAGAATTAGGTACACCAGGTACACCGAATATTTAATTGCAAGAAATAAATTAAGAAATAATGATTGGATTTAAGTTCAGTTTCAATCTGTGCATAAATACCCTATTAACTATGAGTTCTAAACATTAATAAAACATTGTTCATTCTGAATTATTTGTAAGATATTTGCTTTGGTAGGTTAAGCATGAATTTTTTTTAAAAAATTGAATTTGCTACTCTTTAAATTGAAAAAAATTAATTTTATATAGTTTTGCTTCGAATTTCATAGTATTTCATTTGTTTAGATTTTGAGATCAAGGAAAAAAATCATAAAAGCCGAACGAGGAATAAAAAGAAAGAGGAATTGAAAGAAGGAGAAAAGAAAAAGGGAAAAGAGGAAATGGGAAAAATAGAAGGCAAGGAATACGAGGAAAGGGAAGAAAAACATGAAAAAGAAGAGCCAAAGCAAGAGGGCAAAGAAAAAGAAGAACATAAAGAAGGCGAAGAAAAAGAACTTGTAGAGAAAGGAGAGAAGAAAGAGGAAAAAGGGGAAAAGAAAGAGGAAAAAGGGGAAAAGAAAGAAGAGGAAAAAGGGGAAAACAAAGAAGAGGAAGAAAAAGGGGTGGAAAATAAAGAGAGCGAAGAAAAAGAGGAGGAAAAGAAAGAGAGCAAGGGAGAGGAAAAGGAAAAAAAAGAGAATGAAGAAAAAGAGGGTGGAGAGAAAGAGGGTGAAGTGAAAGAAGGTGAAGAAAATAAAGGTGAGATGAAGGAGGGAGAAGAAAAAGAAGAGGAAAAGAAAGAGAGTGAAAGTAAAGAGGATAAAGAAAAAGAGGGCGAAGAAAAAGAAGGAGAAGGCAAAGAGGGCGAAGAAAAAGATGAAGAAAAGAAAGCAGGTGAGGAAAAAGAAGAGGCGGAAGGTGAAAAACAGGAAAAGAAAGAGGGCCAGGAAAAAGGAGTGGGAGAAAGTGAGGAAGAGGAAAAGAAAGAGAATGAAGAAAAAGAAAGTGAAACGAAAGAGGGTGAAGAGAAAGAGGGTGAAGTGAAAGAAGGGGAAGAAAAAAAAGAGGAAAAGGAACAGGGCGAAGAAAAAGGAGAGGAAAAGAAGGAAAGTGAGGGTAATGAAGAAAAGAAAGAGAGTACGGAAAAGGAAGAGAGTAAAGAGAAAGAGGGAGAAGAAAAAAAAGAGGAAAAGGCAGAGGGTGAAGAAAAAGAGGGCGAAGAAAAAGAGGGCGAAGAAAAAGAGGGTGAGCAAAAAGAGGGTGAGCAAAAAGAGGGTAAGAAAAATGAGAGTGAAGAGAAAGAGGGTGAAGAAAAAGAAGAGGAAAAGAAAGAAGGTGAAGGGGAAGAAGAGGAAAAGAAAGAGAATGAAGAAAAAGAGGAGGGAAAGAAAGAGGGTGAAGAGAAGGGAAATGAACCGAAAGAAGGTGAAGAAAAAGAAGGAGAAGAAAAAGAGGAAGGGAATAAAGAAGAGAAGAAGAAAGAGGGTGAAGAAAAAGAAGGCGAAGAAAAAAAAGAGGAGAAGAAAGAGGATGGAGAAAAAGAAGAGGAAAAGAAAGAGGGTGAAGTGACAGAAGGTGAGGAAAAAGAGGAGGAAGCGAAAGAGGGTGAAAAAAAGGAAGAGGAAAAGAAAGAAAGTGAAGGGAAAGAAGAGGAAAAGAAAGAGAATGAAGAAAAAGAGGAGGGAAAGAAAGAGGGTGAAGCGAAAGGAAATAAATCGAAAGAAGGGGAAGAAAAAGAAGGTGAAGCAAAAGAGGGTGAAGAAAAAGAGGAGGAAAATAAAGAAGAGGAGAATAAAGAAGGCGAAGAAAAAGAAGAGGAGAAGAAAGTGGGTGGAGAACAAGAAGAGGAAAAGAAAGAGGGTGAAGTGACAGAGGGTGAAGAAAAAGAGGAGGAAGCTAAAGAAGGTGAAAAAAAAGAAGAGGAAGAGAAAGAAGGTGAAGGAGAGGAAGAGGAAAAGAAAGAGAATGAAGAAAAAGAGGAGGGAAAGAAAGAGGGTGAAGAGAAAGGAAATGAACCGAAAGAAGGACAAGAAAAAGCAGGTGAAGCAAAAGAGGGTGAAGAAAAAGAGAAGGAAAATAAAGATGAGGAGAAGAAAGAGGGTAAAGAAAAAGAAGGCGAAGAAAAAGAAGAGGAGAAGAAAGAGGGTGGAGAAAAAGAGGAGGAAAAGAAAGAGGGTGAAGAGAAGGAGAGTGAAGAGAAAGAGGGTGAAGAGAAAGAGGGTGAAGAGAAAGAGGGTGAAGAGAAAGAGGGTGAAGTAAAAGAAGGTGAAACTAAAGAGGGCGAAGAAAAAGAGGAAAAAAGCGAAGAGGAGAAACAAGAGGGTGAAGAAAAAGATGAGAAGAAGAAAGAGAGTGGTGAAAGAGGGGAAAAGAAAGAGGGTGAGGAAAAAGAGGAAGAAAAGAAAGAGGATGAAGAGAAAGGGGGCGAGGACAAAGAAGTAGAAAATAAAGAAGGTGAAGGGGGAGCGAAGGAAGACGAAGAAAAAGAAATCGAAGAGGAAAAGAAAGGCAAAAAAGGAATTAAGAGAAATAAAACCAAAAAAGGTAAGATTTATAATTTCTACTAAATTATTAATTAAAATATAAATTTTCTAAATAAGCGTAACCATAAACATTGTTTTAATGAAAATATACTTAAGTTGAAATGATTGATAAAAATTAATTTTTTAAGCGTATTTTCAGTTTTTATTCTCAGTTTTGATAAGCAAAGATGCGTAACAGTATTAAGAAGCAAAATATTTGTAATGAAAAATAAAATAAAGCAAACATAATTAATGCCTGACAAAACTATTTAAGTTAAAATCTATTTAATTCTCTCTATCTCTATAAAAATAATTGAAGTTAAAGTAGTAGCTAAAGTTAACAACTATCTACTACATTTAAGCTCAATATTGTTTCTGTTTTACCTTACATATTTATATTTTATCCGTTTTTCTCTTCGGGCATGTCTGTGTCTCTTTATTTTAAACATTTACTTACGTATATATCAATGCAACATAGAAATCTTTTCTGCTAATTAAAAACATTTATTTAAATGATTTCTATGCCCAACAAAAGGCAACTAGCTTTTTAGCATCATTTTTAAAAATAACCTGCATAATCAACATCAAAATCTTTAATTTAACCTAAATATAGTTTTTAGTTTTAAGGATCACTTCACTATGTATGCAAAAACATTTATTTTTAATTTATACATAATTATACTTTTTTTCTTTTCAGAGCAAAAGAAGAGGAGAGAAATGTTTCCATTTTTTCCTCCTTTCGCCTATCCCTTCCCAGCTAGACCATTTCAGCAGTACATGTACTCTGCACCAGCAGTACAGCCGTACTCTGCGCCAGCAGTACAGCCGTACTCTGCGCCAGCAGTACAACCGTACTCTGCGCCAGCAATACAGCAGTACTCTGCCCCAGTAGTACAGCAGTACTCTGCGCCATATATGTCACCATTTGGAGCTTACCCGGAACCCTATCCCATGAAAAGCAGCTATTCTTATTTTTTTAAGTAGAATATAATACCTACAAAAGATTAATAATGACTCTTTAGATGAAGCAAAGTCAACAACTATATATTACTAAAATCAAAGTCTTATTCTAATTTATTAACTAATTTTTTATTGTCTTTGTAAGACTGATAGTACCGATAATTAGTTTTAAATAATAATAATACTTTGATAATTTGTTGCAGTTCTAAGTTTTTTTTAATTTATATGTGAATTTTTAGCTCGTATGTGAGACGTATACAAAAAATATTTCATTATAAATAAATGGAAAAATTATTGTAAAATGAAAAATTTTGAAATGTAAAAATTATTTCATCAAATAATTTGGTCTAGAAAAGGTAAAGGTTTTTAACAAGCCTCCGAGTCAAAATACTCATCGTATCTGTGATTTTTGAAGTAAGAAAAGACTCACGTTTCTTGCATGTTTCTTGTGTGTATGGTTTCAGGATAAAGTTTTTATTATTCTGTAAGTAAATGTTGGTTTATTAAATGAAATTGTTAGTGGAAACTGATTTTTTTTATGTGAAATAAAATATTTATATGAATTGATACAACGTTTTTAGAGACTTGCAATTACTAAAAAAAGTAGACAGTAGTTCAAAGCAGAATAAAATCCCGTTCCTGAATACCGATACTGCTTTAAAATTAGGTTCTTGATTTAAGTAGACATTATTCACTAGCATACTATCAAAAAGCATACTATCAGAAATAGTATGCTTTTTTCAATTTTTTGTTCAACAGTTTAAAGAAACAGAAAATGACAGTGTAACACTTAAAAATAAATCTCTTGTAAGAATTTTGTAACGCTGTTTAGAAAATGATAAAAATAAATACACTCATGGACAAAAAAAAATTAGCGCACCTTAGCTTGGTACAATAAAATCATGATAATAAAAATATTTTAAAACCCATTTTTGAGCTACTTTAGTTTATATTCTTCAACCTTTCTTTAATTTTTCGAAATTTTACAGATAAAAAGAAAAACACGTTTCAAGTAAAATGAAAATGTATCATTAAAAATATTAATTACAAAAGCAAATAGCTTTAAGACATGAAAAAAACATTTAAAATTCGTATCCTTCTAATAAATTTATCTTTTGATTTAGGAAGCGCAATTACTGTTATTGATTACATTTAAGTACATTCAAATTCAATTCACAACTGGTGACTTTCAATATTTGGGCTTGGAGTGAAATAGTGATAAGCCACAGTTTTTCCACAGGTAGATTTAAAAGAAAAAATCAACTCTGCACCTTAGTACTGTTTTCAGATAGATTCATTACAAGTATACAGAAATTTTATTTGGTAATACCAGATTACTCAAGAAATCTGATTGCCTAGATGAAAATCGTGATGATTTTTCCTAAGAACTCTTCCATGAATAATATGAAAATATATTATTATATTGCTTCAATATATTATAAAATATATTGTTATCTTGCTATGAATAATATATTATTATATTGTTTCAAGTTCTTAATTTGTATTGGAGGCATGCGTTACTCATGATCGAATAAATTATGAACAACTATAGAATAAAAATATTTGGCCTTTTCTTCATGACCGTAATTCAAAGAGTGTAAGCCACGATAAAAAAGATAATTATTAGTTTCCTTAGAAACATAACTGTTGGAAAAAAACTACATTTAACAATAAACTAAAAATTTAATATGTCGTTTTATTTTTGTTGATTTCCACTTTTGAACTATTGAAATTGAGTTTTCACTAAACTATTAATCAAATCACAGAGAAATGCGAAGAAAGTAAAATCAGCATTTAGGGGTCCAAACTTTGGAGCGTTTTCCTAAACAAAATATTGGGACCATAATTCCCAGATTGCGGCTACCTCCTATATTTTCAGGGTCAGAAATCCGAATGCTTTCAAAAAAAGGTATGCTTTTTCATAGAAAGTACGTTTTTGTATCTGATTTCGTAACTTAAAATATCGTCTGCACTTATTAATCAGCATATTTGAGATCATCCCCACGAGCCATTAAGATTGGATCCTAGAACGTGAAAATCCGATCAATAAAATCAAAAGTTATTCAGTGTGGACCATTTTTTTGCGCACTGTACATCATACCAATAAATAAACTGACATTCATAAAAACAATTTAACGTAAAATTCTCGGCTCAATGGGATTTTAGTTCGTAAAATAAATTTTCGACTGGTCATTTGTAATGTTTAATATACAGCTTTATTTCCGCTAACATAGCAACTTTTGGTGTCAATGCTTGAAAATATTAAAGTTCACCTCAATAGCGTATGCTACCACTATACATAGTGATATTCGAATAAACTATTCATATCCAAAAAGAGTAAAGAATGTACAAATTTAATAAATTAATTTTTAAACTGTCTCTCATAAAGTTAAAAATATAAATATGTATTCATAAATTAAATTCTGGAAAAAAAATTAAAGCTCAGTTCGGGACTTCGGGAATAAATGATATCTTCAAAAAAGGACATTCGTATAATTCATTTATGTTAAAAAGTGTAAGTTTAGAGGTGCAAATTTGCAAAATTACTTTCTAACCTGTTTTTTATAACATTAGACAAGCAGTTACACTGTAAAAAATTTCAGATCAAATTACTGTAAAAGGCACAGGCACTCAGGGTGTACCATAAAATTCACTTTAACCGGATTATGTTACGTAACAAAAAATATGATATAAAGTAATATGATATAAAGTAATTTATGATATAAAGTAATTTATGATATAAAGTAATTTATGATATAAAGTAATTAATAATTTTCTTAAAATCACAGAATCACTCTAATTAAATAATTATTACAGTAAAAATTATGGTTTAGTAATTTGCGTCAAATGTATCTTACAGTATTCGGGTGAAAAGGACGATAAAACCAGGATTTTACTCTTGCCAGATTTGCTCATAAAACGTTGACATAAAACTTTTTTGTCACAAACGTATAAATGGTACCTATTGATGCAAATATTCATACTTTTTGTTCAATTTATAAGCAAAATACACTTAAAAATATAAATATTTATACAATTAGCTCATTTTGCTCAACTTAGTAAAATATTAATGTCAGTTTGCAAGGGCATTGCAAATTGTAATTTTCGGTAAGTGAAAATTCCGATTTCGTTGAAGAAAATTATTAATTGTACTGAATAATAAATTTTTATTTTTCTTTATTTTATACATTTAATTTAAAATCTTCTTGATCATATTGTAAATACCTTATTAATTAAAACAACATAAAAATTATCTGGTATTCATTAGCGTATAAATGTAGCTGATGAAATTTAAGAAATTTATGCTTACAGGTATTGCTGCAATTTTTATTTCAATATCACTAGGAAAAAACTTCTTAAAAATATGTGGCAGCTAAAAAATATTCATTATTTTTCTAATACAGATCAATAAACAAGCATATATCTCATCTTTAAATCAAGTTTACTAACAGCTAAAAAATATAATTGCTATAACTAAAGTTTAATTTTCATGTATAAAAGCCAAGCGAAGTTTTAACTCTTTCATTCATTTATTATACGAAAAAGGAGCAATGAGATGTTTAATTCAGCAAAAATGGCGGAATATTGAACATAAATTTGCTGAAATCTTTTAAAATAAATTTATTTGTCAAATTTAAAAATGTAAGATAAAAAATCGTAATCTTTGTAGAATAAAGTATATATAAAAATGCAATTCATTTGATTCATAAAAAAATTAATTAGTCAGTTTTTACTATTTTCCAAATATGTTAATTTTTTCTATTAATATATTATTGACTTTGCGATTTTATGCTTATAATTCTAGTCATTACATAAAACAATTAATGAACCATTTGATAAATGAAAATTTAAAAAAAAAATTCGCTGTTAAGATGAAGACATGGGTAATTTTTTTACTATCTCACGAGCTGAATAGCAAATAATGTGGTGATCGGCAAATAAGGTGATCGGGTATTGAACAAAAGCAGAAAATTCTCGGCATTGAACTCCGTAGTAAATATAATCCAATTTTCTTTTAAATGATAGAAGAATATTTGCCATGGTTGTGTCCAAACGATGTAAAGAGAAGCATTCAATTTCTGTTAATCTTTCTGAATTGTATAAAAGCACTAGAACAAGAACACTAGAAAGCTAGACTTTTAGAATTTTTCTTTTTATTAAAGAAATATGCAAGGGATTTTTGAAGATGAGCTAATTGATGTTTCGTCCCGCAATTTTTGATAAAACTGGCTCGTATGTACAACAAAATAGGAGCTCCATGACAAATGATTGAAAAATTGGCTTTTCAATGTCAAAGGATTGATATGTAGAGGAAGAATTGTGGAATGGATACTTGAAATTTAAACAAAGGTGTAATATTGACTAATTATATTTCTGTATTCCAATAAAAGAGAAAGAAAACGAAATTTCGTAAATATGCCGAATGGTCAGTCAAAATTTGCCGAATAGTGAAAATCTTTGGGAGGTATCTTTGACCTCTTCTGACCTCCCGTCCCGACACCCCTACCAGTTTGATGATAAACGAGAATATTTTTTCTTTATTACACTGTGAAATATTATGGTAAAAAGTACCACCACTACCACTCTGCGTGCTGGCACCCTTTATATTAAAATCCAATTTAACCGAATCATGTAACGGAACAACAATTCTGATATACCATAATTTTTACAGCAATAGTTACCGTAAAAATTACTGAATCACTCTAATTAAATAAATATTACTGTAAAGACTAAGGTATAATATTTTGCATTAAAATTGTATCTTACAGTAATATGGATTTTATGGATTATGTACCCAAAGTGGTGGTACTTTACATTGTAATTTGATCGTGAATTTTTACACAGTAAATTTTCAAAAGAAAAAAAAAGAAGAAGAAAGATCGAAAAAAAACGCGAGTTTTACCAATGCTAGAAAACAATAAGAGATCTTTAAAGATCTTGAAAGAGGTTTTCCTTAGTTTACTTAGTTTCCTTAGTATAAACATAACACAGAAAAATTTATTATGAAAACTAAGCTTTGTTTAACAGTTTTTAAATGAATTAACAGTTTTCGAATTTTCTAAAAAAATGATAAATACATTAAAAAATAATTAAAATTTTTAAAATGATAACATTTAAAAGATACTATGACTTAATTGTATTTAAATTTTTTTTGATAGTTTCTTGAAATAAAAGCAATTTAAAATTAAGAACATCAATGATTTCATACAAGAAATGAGCGATAAAAATAAATTCAAAATAAAAATCCAGCAAAGGATTCAGTTTGAATAAATTTCTGTTACAATGTGCTGAAAAGAAAAGTAAAAAAATTAATTAAAAATTTTAAAATAATATTAATCGAACAAAAAATTCAAATTGAATAAAAATCTCTGTTATAATGTGCTGACATATGAATTAAAAAATTAATCAAGAATTATAATATTTAAATTATAATATTTAAAAAATTGCGCGGCTTAACATGATTTAGAATTTTTTTAAATGAATATTATTATTGTTTGAAATGTGCTATTAAAAAATAAATAATAA